ATTATCCATGTATGTTGGGAGAAGTGATGTAGTGATAGAGGATTATCTCGAGAACTTAGGATCTATAGAGGCTTACTAGTTAGACATGTTTTTGAGTGATTAGTCTTGTGAACATTGTGGGAGATAAGGTGTTCTCGAGGTGCGAGCAACATGCAATGGGATATGATAAGTGGGGGTTAGATCTTTTCGTGAGGTCATTTATGTATTTGTTGCATATGTTTTGACCATGTGTTTTGATTAACTTGGTGTTAATCTGTTGTTCTATGTGAGCATGTTTGAAAAGATCTATGTGTTATCTTATATATGATATCTCCATATCATGTTTATTCGCTCTTGATTGATTACTGTGATTGTCTACTTCTACTTGGGATGTTCTTGATTTTAGCCCAAGTGAGTATATGAAGCACGTATGTTCTGTGTTTTTTGGTTTCGAAACATGAGGTAAGGTATGTGATATCAATTTTATTAGTTATTTTGATTGTGCAAGTATAAATTGTGTGTTTTTGTTGCTTGCAGATTTATTGGGAATGAATGTGGAGATTTGTTGGGTTTTGATACCCAATAAATTCGGGCAATGATGTTGAACCGTTTTGTATTGGATTATACTTCATAGGCCTCGACCGATGAGTAAAGTGAAATGTCGACACTACAATCGAACTAACTATTCCTACAACTTGTTCGGGCTATTTGTAGTAACCTAATTATGTTAGTGTTATTCATGGCCCGACCCATTACCCTTGGACCGCTTTAGGGTTGACACCTCATTTATTGTTACCTAATTGGGCCTTACGTACCTTAACCTAAAGCCCACTCATTTGGCGTTTATAAGCTACCCGTTACTATTTGTGTTGGTTGAGTGTGAAAGTTTGGGCAGCTGTGTGTTGAGAGAAAAGACAGTCCCTTTGCTTCGTGCTTTCTTCCTAGGCTTCGTGCCTCCTGTGCTTTGTCTTCTCCTCCTTTCTTAGTCTTTGTGACTTACCTATGAGCTCCATAACCTCTTCATACTCAGCCCTTTGTGGGCAAATCGTAGAACAACCGATGTTAGTAGGTTTATGGTTGGTTTGGATTTAGGTTGTTGTTTGTGGTGTTGTATTGGAAGTTAACAGAGCCCGATTCTTGGTGTGATTGGAGCCCAATATTCAGCAGTCATTACCTAGTGGTTTCTTAGGTATGCTGGGAGAAAGATGAAATATTGGCAAATGGGCTCCTCAACTAGAGGTGCTTGCACATCCTGATGTAGGAGCGTTTTGGACTCACAATGGCTGGAACTCGACTCTAGAGAGCATTTGTACTGATCTATATGCCATGTTTTACAGACCAGTTTGTGAACGCAAGGCATATTTCTCATGTTTGGAAAGTTGGGGTACAATTGGAGAATGGCTTGGAGAGGAAAACTATTGAGGAGGTCATCAGAAGACTAATGGATGATGATGGTGAATAAATTAGAAATAGAGCAGAACATTTCAAAGAGAAGGCAAATTTTTCCTCGAGGCCTAGTGGTTCTTCACATGAAACTCTGTAAAGCCTAATAAGCTGCATCTCATCATCCTGATTAAATTGATCGATTATTACAAACACTCCATCCATACAATGGTTTGTAATTCGCCTCTCTGTTTCTGGATTGAACTACTATGATAGTTTGACATGTATTTATATGGAACACGATATCTTTGTATTTGTATAGTGGAAACTTCAACAATTGGATTTTTCAGATATTGGATGGATTTACACTGGGTTCATGATCTTGCAGGTGGAAAATTACGACTTCATTCTCAATTCAATTCTATGATTCCATGACAAATTTTTATTCCATGCATTTGCTTTTCTTCTATGGTAGTTTGGTGAACTTGTTGGTGTGGATTTGAACATATTTACTTCATTTTCTCCAAGTATTGCACTTCCATTATTACTTGCTTTGAAAAATGATTGCAAGTGTTTATCTGCTTTCCAGCGCTTCCTTCTTTTAGTGTTACACAAATTCTCCATTTCTTTCGGTTTTTATTGCCTCCATGATATTGTTTATAGTCAAATTTGAAGGCCAGAGTCACATTTCTCGGCTAGATAACAAAGACTAGGTTCTATCATTTGCCTGAACATGCAAAAATTAGTTCTTTATTATTTTATTTATTTTTTGATATTTATATTGGAGGGTATATTTTTAATTTCAAAGCTTTAATTGAGAAATTGGATGAAAATTGATATAAATGATGGTTTACACAATTAAATGTGTAATTAATGGTGAAAATGTCAAAAAATGAAAGATAGTGATTTTTTTACAATAAATAGTGAAAGATAGGGACATTATGATAAAAAAGTCACATTATAAAAAAAGTCAAATACATTTTAAAACTTTGTTGATCTTATCATTCAACGTACAAAATATTTTATTGTGAAAATATGTAGTTTAAAATGAGTTTAAGAAAAAAAGGGTTTTGTTTAATGGTTGTCAGATAATGAGTTTTAAAGTAGTGATTTTTTGGAAAATGTGTGATTAGAAAGTAGTCCATGTTTGACAATTATTAAAACAAAACTTTTTTTTAAAATTTATTTTCAATTACAGATTCTCACAATAAAATATTTTGTACGTAAATCTAAATTTTTTTCTACTTTTTAATCACACATTTTTTCAAAAAATCATTATTTCAAAATTCATTTTCCCTTGAAAATTCATTTTAATGATTGTCCAATAGGGGGAAAAATGTTTTGAATTTACGTATAAAATATCTTATCGGGAGAATGTATAGTTGAAAATGAATTTGAAAATAAAAAAATATTTCAATGATAGTCAAAAAAAAGGCTACCACCACGAAATTTTCTTACACACTCCTGCTGTGGGGCATGTTGCAATATTTTATTGCTCAACCCTCCAAAGGATCAAGTCAAATATCGAGTCCACTCATATTTTTCACAGTTTTCTTCACCTAATTAAACACGTAAGTTTGGGTATGCACGTGCCAGAAAAAAAAAATAGAAATATGACAAAAACACTGTATTTTTCAAAGTTTGGTTATGCACGTGCCCAGAAAAAAAATAGAAATATGACAGAAACACTGTATTTTTCAAAGTTTGA